GGTGTCCTTTTTGCTTTATAATTGATCCTATTGCAGCCTGCTCCCCTGAACATCTCCAGTTTGTCAACGCCTCTCTTCAGGGTTGACACATGTGTCTGACTCTTTTGCTCACAATGTCATCTGACTCATGGGGACTTACTTCCATGGTTCCACTTCATGCCACTCCATTTCTCTGGTCCTCAGTTTCCCATTGGTAGAATGAAAAGATTTCTTAAAACACGATGGGCTTCAGGACTCCATAAATGCCCTGAAACTGTAAGCAGCGTTTTATATGTCAGGAGTATATATGCATTTTGGGGGAGAGGATCTATAGGTTTTTTTAATCACATTCTCAAAGGGGATCCATGAGTGACAAAAAGATAAAAATCACTGGATTAAATGATCTCTGAGGTCCCTTCCAGTTCTAACATTCTATAAGTCAAAGGTCCTAAAACACATGACATTTTCTTTTTCCCTTGAGAGGAAGTTAAAGACCAAATATTACTATGCCTGTTATCAGCGACAATGAAGAGATAGAATCTGACAGACCCCTAGATACCATGCGACACCAACTGAAAAGGTTAGAGCTAAACCTTTTCTGTCTCATGAGGTAATCAGTTTCCTCTCACTGGAAATGTTCCAGCAGAAGTTGAATTATCATCTCTCCAGGATACTATATAAGGAATTTTAAAAATCATGTGAGGAGCTGGTCCCTGAGTTCTCTCTGAGTCAAAGACCCTGTGAGAGGTAGGCTGCGTGTCTTTGCTCATGCTCTTCCTGAAATAACCTTCTCTGCCTTCACTCCTCTCTCATTTTGATACTTTTCATATGGAGCCTTTTTCTCTCCCAGTTTAATTAGTGACTGCCCCCCACATCCTCCCCTAGCTCTGTCGGACACTCTTCCCATCTAGAACTCACTATCTGCAGGAGTGTATGGGCCTGATTCCCCCACTCGATTGTCAGTTCCTTGAGAGCAGTGATTGCATGAGACTTGTGCATCTACGTATCTCCGGTGCCTTGGAGCGTTTGGTATATAGAAGCATCCAAGAAATAAAGTTTCAGTAACTGCCTCTGTAACGAGCCTAAGACCTCACATAAGTCATTCATCACTCTAGGCCTTAGTTTCTCCATCTGTTAAATGGAAAGTTTGGACCAGGCACTTTCTTAGGTCTCTTTCAATTCTAATACAGTACTGTGAATCTCTGTAACTTGTTTGCCTTACTGAAGGCAGCAAACACATTTATGTACCATTTGTCTTCATAATGTACACTGGCACTTACATATTTGTACCTTTGATTTTCCAATTCTCTGCATATTGATCATGAGCAAATTATCATCTGACAGGTTTATGACAGTTCTACATCCTGATTTTAGAAAGAAACACAAGAGCAGAGGAGCTCACCACTGCACTTACTTGAACATGAGACCACATTTCTCTAAACTTTTCGACCCAAACTGTTTACAAGGCTTACCCCTGCCAGATTCAGAAAATTGGGAAGAGCAAGTATTCAATATTTTAATGAGTTAGAAAAAGCAAAAAATTCAAGTTTATAACATAGCCCACCATGAAGATTAAAGATATTTGACATTCCATAATGAATTAGTAAAAAAAATACTTAAATTTAGGGACAATTGAGTCTAAGAGTTAAGGACTAGATGCTACATTGGAAGCTAGTTTTAAATGCTGTTTAATGATTACTTTTGATGTGATATTCTCAGTTTCTTCATATGATCCAATTCTTTTTTATTTTATTGTATTATTACAGTAAAATATATATAAGATTTGCCATTTTAACCACTTTAAAATATACAGTTCGACGGAATTACATACACAGTGCTGTGTAACCATCCCCTCTATCTATTTCCAAAGCTTTTTTGTCATCCTAAACATAAACTGGATACCCATTAAGCATTAACTTCCCATTATTCCTTCCCCCCAGTTTCTGGTAACCTCTAATCTATTTCTATCTCTGAATTTTTTAAATTTATTTTTTCTTAATTGACCCATGATAATTGTATATGTTTATGGAGTACAATGTGATATTTGGGTAAATTTGTACAGTGTGCAGTGGTCATATCATAATTAGCATATCCATCACCTCAATCGTTTTTCATTTCTTTATCTTAGGAACATTCAAAATCCTCTCTACGAGCTATTTGAAATTATATAGTAAGTTGTTGTTAACTGTAGCCTCCCTACGGTGCTGTGGAACACTGGACCTTATTCTTGTTATCTAGCTGCAATTTTGTATCCACTGGCCACCCTCTCCCTATCCTCCCTGCCCTGTACTCTTACTGGCTAGTGTATAAGATTGGGTATGTCTTCCAGAGTTACATAATTAAGTCCAGATTTGGTCACCCAGTTCAAACTCTTTTGATGTTTAAGTCCCTTCTAGTAACCACTATTCTACTCTCTACTTCTATGAGATCAACATTTTTTGCTTCCGTATATGAGTGAGAATATGTGGTATTTCTCTTTCCGTGCCTGGCTTATTTCATTTAACATAACAGTCCTCCAGGCTCATCCGTGTTGCCACAAAATCTCATTCTTTTTTCTGTCTGACTAGTTACTCCATTGGGTATATATAACACATTTTCTTTATCTAGTCATCTGTTGGTGGACATATCTTGAGTGGTGCCATATCTTGGCTATTGTGAATAGAGCCACAATAGAGCCACAATAAACGTGGGAGTGCAGGTATCCCTTCAATATGTTAATTTCCTTTCTTTTGGATGTATACCTAGCCCAATTCACTATTTAAATGACGGAAGATTAAGTGAAATCTGAAAAAAGAACTCTGTCATCGGGATGAATTTTACCAGGAGATGTAAAGTGTCTGAGTTCTATCTTGGTTCTGTCTAGAGTAGCCTTGGGTAAGTCTCTTACCTCTCTACCTCAGTTTCCTTATCTACCACATAAGGGTGTCACCCTCAATAAACTGAGGTTTCTTCAAACTTTTATACTATGAGCAATGGTTCTGGACCTTTTCCCCCAGGGAGACATATGCATTAGGGAACATATACAGCTCTCAGGATCTGTATCTTTTGTGTGTGTGTGTGTGTGTGTATGTGTGTGTGTGTGTGTGTGTGATGTTGTTTTTACTGATATGATTTAGTTTTAAGGCAGAGTATAGATAAAATAGGATATAGGTTGTGCATAATTCCTAGTATCAATCCCACCCCCTTTCTGTCTAATGATGACTATTACATCAAGAACCACAGCTCTGAAGAACTTCACAACTGTGGGCCATATGCCACCTAGAAGATTTTTTTAATGCAAAATGCATCGATTTTTTAAAATATTATTTTTATAAGCTCAGAGCCTAATTATATGTTCTAATGATTACATTCTTAATCCTAATTCTGCTTACTTAGTTCTACTAAAATGAAAAATCACCCCCCTATAAACCTCCTCCTCCAAAGAAGTTTCCAGAAGGCAGAGCCCCCTTGCTTTCTGGACATCCTGATCCTCTAAAAGGCTGAGTCCTGTTTGTCATGTGGCTGCCTTTGTTAGAAGCTCAGAAAGTCTACAGTGATAAGGTTTGCCCAGGGGTTAACTGCATAGTGGCAGCTTGGAATTGAAAAGGAAGGCTGTTTGGTTTCCTAAAAGAAAGAGAAATGACTGCTCAAATAACAAAGTTTAATTTATCACCTCAGAGCCCCTCTTAATGGCAGTGAAATCTATGTAGATGTCAACCAGGACAACCACATGCATGTGTCTGTCTAAGGGGCCAGTATCATTCTCTTAAAGCAGCTGTGTTCATCAGTGCAAGTAAAAAGAGCAGCACTCCCTCTGCCTGCTAGGAGCAAGGCTATTAGCAGAATTTCGGCCACCCAGAAGCTTCCACCTTCTTCTGAAAAGCAGCCTTCTCCCAAATAGATCACACCAAAATGGCATCTGCTGTATCCCTATGGATCACAGGCACTGATCATGACAGCTGTCCACCTAGCCTACTGACCACAGTGCAGCCTACTCCGGTGTCAGCAGTTGGCAAAGATGTCACAAAACCAGAGTCTATTAAAACATTAGAGCTGTACAGGAGTTAGCGTGATCCATCTGGCCACGTTCTATGCAATGGGACTCAATGGAAAACTATTAGATAAGCAAGCTTGGACCCCAGATCAGGGGCTTCTCCACACAGGAAGAAACACCTTCAGAAGGGAAATTCCTCAAGTTGACCAGGTTTTAAATCAAAATGTAACCAAGATATCTGTCAGCTGGATCTTCTATGTTCCTTGAGATCTAAATAGGCTTTGCTTCCAATTCTACAGTCTGTGGAAGGCTGAATTCCATGACTGTTTGGGGGCTTAGGGTCTCTGCCTTGGCTCTTGCTACCATGTCTGGTATCTCAGCTCTGCAACTTGTCAGGTTGCTTATAAAAAAGCATGATGAGCATGGCAGACCTTACAAAAAATTGGTGTCATTGAGGAGAATCATATCGTATATTTCATATCCTGGCAAACTCCTACACATCTTTGAGAATCAACAGTGGGACCCTCTTGATTCCTCCAGACAAAATTAAGACTGCCTTCTCTGTGCAAGCACACTATAATAACATTTCTTCCATTATATTTTCGGTCTTTGTTTTCCTAACCTATCCCCTTCTGGGTAGGTTTCTTAAGGGAGGATCTGAACTCTGTGGTCCTCATTTCTGAATCCTCAGTGACCAGCAGAGGGAAGACTCAGGAATTTAGGTATTTGTCCTCTTATCTTTCCATTGGAAATCCTTACAAATTAGTGGCAGTGGTCAAACACATATTGCTCTTAACTTTGGTCCTCAAGCTTCTCACCCCTTAATGGGCCTGGATTACCTTTCTGGGCTACCTCACACCCATCTGCCTCACCCTGCTACTCATTTCTAGACTTGGCCCTCCTGCCCAGCCTTCTTCTCTTCTACTGCTATCCAAGAATTCCAGCCTAGCCACCTCTAGCTACTTGCCTGTGACTTTTTGAAAATCATCCTACCTTCTGAGCTTCATCTGCAAAATGAGTGGGCTTGACTCATTAGCTAGAGCTCTCGATGGAGCATTGCAACTCACAGGTATGTTTTAATCAGCTGTAGGGTGCTTTGCAAGTAATTTTTTCAAGTAATCATTAAAGTTTGCCTATGATCTTTTTTTAACAGAGCAGATTCAAGGTCATCCCTATGACTGTCATTCTCAGTTGCATTCTGGTGTGCTTTCCGGAACAAGAGAAAAAGGGGTGGAGCTCCAGGTAGCTCTAGGGATCATGCACAAACTTGGGGCACACAGCCTCTTGGGAACATGTTATGTCTCACACGAAAAGTTGCCTGGTTATCTGTCATGTGTGTCTCAACAGTGCAAAGACTGATCTATAAGATTTTTTTCGGCTCCTTCATCTTTTGACCCATAAGGTCTGGTGTAAAAGATATTGTTTGTATTTTACCTGGAGAAAAGACAGCTTTTGGAAAATGTGAATTTCCAAATCACCCCTGTGCTGTGGTAGCTGCTCTTAAAATTTAAATCTCACTGAGGGACACCTGAGCAGTTGATACTCTTCTTTTTCCTCTTTCTCTTTGGCTTTTCTTCCAGGAAGCGGGAGGAAGAAAATAAGCGAAAAGAGGCAGAACAGCAGAAAGGAAGGCTGAGCACAGACTTCTGCAGACCCCAAGGCTTTCCTTGTCTACTACCCAGCATCCAGGATGAGCCCAGCAGACAGAGCTGGGCCCCCAGCAAACAGTCTCCTGCCAGCAACACGACCCAGGGCTCTGAACCAAGATATTGCAGAGGGTCTCCAGGCAGAACCCCCCAGAAGGAGCAGCATGTTTCCTCAGACTTGCAGGGAACAAACTCCAGAAAGCCAAATGGTAGGTGTATGTCTTTGTTATCTGATTGCCTTTGGCTGTTCTGGTTGGTGCACTTACATCATTTACCTTTAAGGTAATTATTATGTTGGCACTTGTCTGCCATCTTAATATTTGTTTCCTATTTGTTTCCTCTGGTTCTCAGTCCTCTGTTTCTTTCTTTTCTTCCTGTGAGTTACTTGAACATTTTTTAGGATTCCATCTTGATTCAGCTATAGTGTTTTTGAGTGTATCTCTTTCTATAGTTTTCACAGTAGGTTGCTTTGGGTATTACAATAAATATATGCAACTTATAATAGTCTACTAACATCAACATTTTAGCACTTTGAGTGAAATATAGAAACTTCACAGTACCTTTTCCTTTTACACTTTTAAATATTCCTTGGGTATCAGATGGTGTTATAATTTTTGTTTCAATTATCAAATATTATTTATAAAACTGATGAGGAAAAGAGTGGTCTGTGTTATATACCCACATTTCTGCTCTTCTGTTGGTTCTTCTTCCTTTGTGATGCTCCAAGATTCCTTATCATTTCCTTTCTGCTTGAAGAGGTTTCTTTAGCCAATCTTTAAGGGTAGGCCTTTATCTGAGAATGTTTTTATTTCACTCCTGAAGAATCATTAAGCAACATATAGAATTCATGGTTGGCAGTCTTTTTCTTTTAGCACTTGAAAAATATTGTGCCACTTCCTTCTGGCTCCTGTGGTTTCAGATGAGAAATCCACTGTCACTGGAATTGGTGTTCCTCAGTAACATTCCTAGGTAACATGTCATTTTCCTCTGGCTGCTTTCAAGATTTTTTTTTTTTTAAAGATAACCGGTAAGGGGATCTTAACCCCTGACTTGGTGCTGTCAGCACCACGCTCTCCCAAGTGAGCCACCCGGTCATCCCTATATAGGGATCTGAACCCGTGGTCTTGGTGTTATCAGCACCACACTCTGCCAAGTGAGCCACGGACTGGCCCCTATTTTTTCTGTATTTTTAATTTTCAAAAGTTTATTAAGATGTGTCTTGGTTTTGGGGGTTTTTCCTATTTGGAGGTCATTTAGTGTGTCAGGGGTCCACAATTTTATTCTGCCACTGAATAATAGGGTTTACCTTTCTCCAGACTCCATAGCAGTTACTTCTCTGCTCTTCCAGCCTTCACTAACTGTGTCTTCATTGCCTTCCCAGCTTTTGCTCACCAATCAGTCCCAAAATCAATGGCATGGGTTTTAGATTTTTGTTAGGACAGAACCTCTATTTTTAGGTATCAGTTTCTATGTTGTTTATCTCCTGTGGCACAACCAACCACCCCCAAAACTAGGTGGCTTAGAATAGCAACAATTTATTATTTTCACAGTTCTGTGGGGTAGCTGGACAGCTCCTCTGTTGTATCACCTGGGCTCACTCGTGGCTGCTGGAGGGTTGACTGGGCTGGTCCAAGATGGCCTCCTTCATATGGAGGATTAATGCTGGCCATTAATGCTGGCTGCTGGCTGAAGTGCCTCAGTCCACTTCTATATGGCCTTTCATTCTCCAGTAGATTAGACCATCTTTCTTACATACTCTTCTCAAAGTAGTACTCTGAGAGAGGGAAGGCAAAAACTGCAAGCCCTCTTGAAGCCTAGACTCCAGAACTTTCATCTCACTTCTCCCACATTTTATTGACCAGAGCAAGTCACAATACCAGCCCAGGTTCAAGGGATTAGAGAAATAGACTCCACCTCTGGATGGAAGATATGGCAAAATCACATGACAAAGGTGCATACATATCAGAATGGGAAGAATCTTTGGCCATTAAACAATCTATTGTAAGAGGCAATGTATCTTTCACTTCTGTATCTCTAGCACCTTACAGGATGTCTGGCACATAAGAAAGAAAATAAATAGTTATTGAATTTATAGTTAGATGGTACTAGCTAGATGCTAAATATGTGGAGATGAAAAACAGGTCATTAAACTAAGATGAAAAGTATTCTTTGGGTATACTCATGTTTTCTGTAACAGAATCCCATTTTATGACAAAGATTTGCTGCTACTTAATTCACTAAATCACTTACACATGCAATCACTCAACAACTATGTTTCTGAAACCACACTCTGTGCCAGCTATACTGAATTATCAATTAAGGCTAAGGACATCAGCCTCTTTCCTATAATTGTGAGCACAACACTGGTTACATAGGTAAATACTTCTTGACCTGACCTCTTAGAAATCACTCATTTAAGGTTTGATTGGCTTGGAGTTTACTTTGTATCCCAAGAATTACACTTAATCCCTGTAATTTCAAATGGACAATGCTAAGTGCCCTAATCCAATGCTCTACGAAGCAGAGAGAAAGGGAGCACAGTAATTTCAAACTTCTTACAACTACGCAGGGTCATTGTGGCTCATGTTAGTCTTATTATAAAACACCTTGAGACAGATACACTGCAAGGCCAATCAGATCTACTGTGGACCTGATCATATTCTGATAGAGTGGCCTCACATCCTAAAAACTCCATGTTGTTTCAGTTTCTAATAACTAGTCCTTTTGTCCTTTAATTATACTGATTGATACTATTTATACTGCCTCAAGGTGATCTAGTGCATGGTTTTACAATGATTTTCAAGCCATATATGCCTTATGAAATGAATTTAGTAAATGGATAGGACCAGCATATTTGTCATGGAATAGACTACAGTAGAAAATATCAAAGTACATTGCACATTTTAAAGGTAAGATATGAGGTACTTCAAAAAGTTCATGGAAAGATTCATATTGTCTTTCAAGTCTATTTTTCCACCAACTTTTTTGAAGTACCCTGTAAAGCTACACGATGCCAGTTGTCGAGTAAGGCAAATCATAACTAAAGCCAAAAATGTTTCGTTATTTTAGTTGCACTAAGTTTCCATTTGTATTGTCAGGACTAGGGCTCAGACCTTTACAAACCCATTGTGCAGACTGGGTCACCAGACCCCTCACACGCTGGTCCACGCTAAGTAATTGGGAAAGATCCCAGGAGCCATTGGCAGATGACACAAGCTCAGTCCTCAGCAGCTTATGGGTCCAGCAGCTTACAGGTCTGGTGGTGGCCTCCTGGAGGGTCCCAGGGACCCTGGCAGCAACAGCCTCCAGCAGCAGTAGCAGCCTCCCTGTGGCCCCCCAGAGGCATCCTGGGGGTGGGGGGCCGCGTGGACCAGAGCCACTCGTCCTTTATACTTAAGTCCATAACCCAGGACACCTGGGTGCACATGCACAATTACATTAGACAATAACCAAGGAACGCCTGGGCACATGTGCATATTTACATCAAATTCTCAGCAAGATTCTGAACATCTGAGGGGCCCTATTTTCCTATATTTTCCCAACATATCCTTGTGTGTGTGTGTGTGTGTGTGTGTGTGTGTGTGTGTGTGTGTGTGTGCGCGCGCGTGCACACCTGGGCACATGTGCATATTTACATCAAATTCTCAGCAAGATTCTGAACATCTGAGGGGCCCTATTTTCCTATATTTTCCCAACATATCCTCGTGTGTGTGTGTGTGTGTGTGTGTGTGTGTGTGTGTGTGCGCGCGCGTGCACAAACATATGAACAAATTGGGCCACGATGTAAGATTTATTTCTTGGTATGGGTCATTGTTGAAAAATTTTGAAAGTTACTGTTGCGGAACAACTCTGAGGCAAGGTAGCATCTCAGTCACTTGAGGGTGGGAAGCGGCATCCTGCATAAGGGACCTTTGCAAAGAGCCAAATTCAGATATGCAAACAGGGTCTCAGAGAAGCTCAGCATCCAGACTTTGGGGAAGCTGAAGTAAAGGAGACCAATGAGTCTGATTCAGATGTGAGGAAAGGACGCTCCAGTTTCATGGACAGCCACTGCCCTTGTTCACCTGCCTAAGAGGCCACAGTACAAAGGAAAATAGGGAGGTACTTATAGGAAGTGAGACTGACCATTGACTGGAGCCTCTCTAGCAGTATTCCTTGGAAACCCCAACATAATTGGGCAAAGGACACCACAACTCACTTTATGTTTGACCACATAAAGAAGTGTCACAGCTGCTTCAACTGATCAGTGCTCAGGCAGTACAGACCTTAAGGGATGGGCATCCGAGCAAGAACCCAGAGATGGGAAATACTGACCCCTTCTTTTTCCCCCTCATCTTGTCTCAGACATAGAGAATGTTAGAGCTTGAGGGTCTTTAGAGAAGAGATTCCTCAAAACAAGTCAGGAAACTGAGGCCCTGAAAGGGATACTTGTCCAAGGTCACTTAGCAAGTGATTTCTTTCTTCTCTTCCACAGTAATTCTTACCTTCTTGTTGCTGACAACGTGTGCAGAGCGCATTGCCTACCTGCACAAACTTTGGAATCACACAGCCTGGGTTCACATTTAGACTCCACCTTGAGCAAGTTACTTAACCTTTCCAAGCCTCAATTTCTTTGTTTGTAAAAATAAATAGATAATAATGCCTACCTTAAAAAATTGTGAACATTGGGCCGGCCCGGTGGCGCACTGGATAGTGCGCCGCTTGGGAAGCGCGGCGGCGCTCCCGCCCGAGGGTTCGGATCCCACATACGGACCGGTTCCCGCTCACTGGCTGAGCGAGGCGCGGGAGCAGCACCGAGGGTTGCGATCCCGTTGCCGGTCCCCGGTCTGGTACGGGGGCAACACTGAGGGTTGCGATCCGTTGCTGGACACGGAAAAAAGACAAAAAAGACAAAAAAAAAATTGTGAACATTGATGAGCAACCACTTTAGGCACTGTAAATGTGAGCTGTTATCATAATTAACCTAATTATTTCAAATAGGGAGAGAGAAGGAGATATAATCTTTAGAAAGATCACTGTGGGTGATGGACTTGAGGGACCAGATAGAGTCTATGCAAAGACGGTACCAGCAGGGTGAAGAATAGGGGATGGTCTTAAGGTACAGTTGAAATTACTTGGTAGCAGATTGCTTGTTGGAAGTGGTGAGATAACACTGTCTTCGAGTCAGGAGAGTCTGAGGAGAAACTCAGTTTTAAGGGCCAGCCCTGGTGTTTTCTTATTTTCACCATGTGGGCTGTCAGAGTTAGTGGGTATGACTGGTGGGAGTGTAAGTGGGTCCTTACACTTGGTGCATGTTCAATGGCTAAGGCAGCAAATTCAGTTCCCACCTATATGCCAAAGACTTCCTGACCTCTCTTCCTGCTCCGAAAATGTATATTGTTACTTACTTATATCCTCACTTGGATGTCTTGATTTATCTCAAACTCGACCTATCAGCCTATCCAGAACAAATGTGTAATAACATGTGTCCACCATTATAGTATCATACAGAGCAGTGTATAATACTATAATACTATGATAATTCCCTCTCTCCAGGCCCTGGCAACAACTGAGCTTTTTACTGTTCTATGGTTTTGCCTTTTCCAGAATGTCATATAGTTGGAATCATACAATATGTGGCCTTTTCACATTGGCTTTTCTCACTTAGTAACATGCATTTCATGTTCTTCTGTGTCTTTTCATGATTTGATAGCTCATTTCTTTTTTTTAGTGCTGTATAATATTGCATTGTCTGGGTATACCACAGTTTATCTATTCACCTACTGAAGGACATCTTGGTTGCTTCCAAGTTTTGGCAATCATGAATAAAGCTGCTATAGATATCTGTGTGCAGCTTATGCGGACATACATTTTCAACTCATTTGGGTAAATACCAAGGAGTGTGATTGCTGGCTGTCGTGGTAAGATTATGTTTAGTTTTGTTAAAAAAAAAAAGTCTTCCAAAGTTGCTGTACCATTGTTCATTCCCACACAGCAATGAATGAAAATTCCTGTCGTCCACATCTTCATCAGCATTTGGTGTTGTCAGTGATTTGGGTTTTTGACATTTTAGTAGGTGTGTAGTGATATCTTGTTGTTTTAATTAACTTTTTTGGGGGGGGCGGAGTGTTTGTTAAACATTATAATGGTTCTAAGAGTCGAACTATATAAAAAGGTATACACAGAGAAGAATCACTCACTCCTCAGCCATACTACACAGTTCCCTGGGGGGGCGGAGTGTTTGTTAAACATTATAATGGTTCTAAGAGTCGAGCTATATAAAAAGGTATACACAGAGAAGAATCACTCACTCCTCAGCCATACTACACAGTTCCCATTTCCCCTTTCTTTCTACCTATTTCCCACCCCACTCCCATAGGTAAACAGTTCTCTTTAGTTTCTGGCTTATGCTTCCTATATTTCTTTTGCACGAATGAGCAGCTATAGGTATATTTTCTTATACCCCCCTCTTTCTTACATGAAGAGTAGCATAGTTTAGATGATCTTTTGTACTTAAGAATAGTTATTTTAAAGTTTGTTTCTGAGAACACATTAGCTGAATAACCTGTATATCTGTTTTATCTTTTAATCTTTTCTTTCTCTCTCTCTCTGTTCTCTTATCTCCTTGTGTGCCTGTATATTTTTGATTGAGTGCTGAACACTGAATATAAAAAAATTATAGAAATAACTTGAGGCCTAGGATGATATTAATTCCTCCAAGATAGGATTTACATTGGCTTCCAGCAGTTGGTGGAACTATCAATCTAAGATCACCTTATCCAACTTCCAGAACTGAGATGATTTAAGGTTGCACTTCAGTCCCTGCAAGGGTCAGTCTACCAGTTCACCTTTTCTCCTATGGCATAGCCTTCCAGGGTCCGAATCCAAAAGAATGCTTCTTGGCAGGTTCTGCTCTGTAAGTTTTGTACCCCAAACCTTAGGAAACTGATTTCCCTAGGGACATGTGACCCTAAATGTCTTATTCATCAGTCTGTGTTACTAGATTCTCCTGGATCTTGGTCCCATATTTTTTCTGCCTTGTTAGCTCCTTAGTGCCTTCAAACAAGTTGTTTTTAATATTTTGTTTGACTTTCTATTGTCTTCAGTGGAGAGTATGCTTGAATTCTGCCAGTACGTAGAAGCAGAAGTTCCTTCATTGCTTTTTACATTGAGACTAATTTTTTTCATTTTAGATTTTGTATTTAGTTCTTCAAATATACATATTCTTTTCCCATATTTTTAATTTCTTTTATGTGTTTAATCAGTTAGTGTGTGTGCTAAAGTTCTGGGAGCTCTAACCTTGCTATTGTGTCCTCTTATTGATAGATTGTTTGATAGATTGCTCATGATAGATTGTTTCCTCATGCATTTTAGAATTTTGGATAATGAAGTTATTTGTGTGTGCTAAAGTTCTGGGAGCTCTAACCTTGCTATTGTGTCCTCTTATTGATAGATTGTTTAATAGATTGCTCATGATAGATTGTTTCCTCATGCATTTTAGAATTTTGGATAATGAAGTTATTTTCAGAGGACCCCTTTGTGCAGCCTGAGTTGAGGGCATGTCATATTTAAGCAATATTGTGTTTGCTTCTCTGAGGCATCCTGGGATATCACCATCCTGGACTAGTTTTTAGATTAATGTCTCCTATGGATTAAGAATAAATGAATATCAAACATGAGGCACAGGATTGAGTTTCATATTCTCATGAGAGACTCTTTACTCCACCCAGAACCTAGGCTGAGACAAACTTGTCTCCCAGTGCTGGTGAGCAGATTTTTTATCTGGACTATCATTTCCCAAAGGTATATATCCCTTCAAGAGTACTGGCTTCATGCAGAGTCTTGGTTCCATTTAACTTTCTGCCTGTAAGGCCTCATTTTATGTTCTTATTTGGATGTTAAAACAAAACCAGATATTTACTAAGACCATTCATTGCCATTCCACCACTACTACCTGACCAGAGAGTTACTGGATCAGCTTATACATTTATGGTTTTGATTTTCAGTTTTCTCTTTGTTCTTGGCCTCCAGAAATTTCCTTTATTTTCCTGAAGACATAATGGTGCTTTTAAAAGGATGTTCATTATATTTTATTCACCATTTCTAGGTACCCACAGTGTGAAGGCTTTCAGGTTATCTAACCTACCATATTTCTTAGTCATAACTGCCACTGTCATGGTGATGCTATAGGACAAGTCTGAATATTTTATGTGAACAGATGAGCAGAATTGCTCTACTATACAAGTTTTGGACAATAAACATTCTTCCCCTTTTCCTTTGCCTCCCTGAGAAACATCCAGAGAACATTCTAAGGGCCGATCTGCCTGTGTCCACTTCAGACCCAGTGAAGGCAATGATGGAAACAGGTGTTCAGGAGTCTCCTTGGTTGAGAAGTCCAGAGGTGAGACAGTTGGCAATCAGTGGTGTGACAAGGGGAAAGCCTTCTTGAAGCAGCCCTCCTATATCAGGCTGCCTGGGCCTGATGAGAAAAGAAAGGATCCCAGTCAGGCAGCAGCAAGCCTTCCACAACAGGATGGCCACGGGAAGCCCAGCAGGCGGCATGACACAGCACCCAAGGCCAAATGTGCCCCCCAGAAAAGGCGCATTCAAGAACTCCAGGGAGGAAGGCACTCCCCCGCTGGTTCTAGCCGGCCTGGCACTGCCAGGGGGGAGGTGGTCCCTGCTGGGCAGAATCTTCTCCACCATCGCACACCAAGAAACAAAGTGACACAGGACAAGCTCACAAGAGGTCTCTATTCAGATTTGCCACACAGCACAGAGTTGAGGTCAGAAGCCAGGAAGCTGGGGACATCCATCCTGACTGAGGACATACAGGTATCTAAGGAGACTGATTCAATACCTGGTCCCCTCTCTGGACAGAATGTGAATATAGACCGTCTCCCCGTAGAGCTCCGACTGCAGATAATTCAAAGAGAAAGAAGTAGGAAAGAGCTGTTTCGCAAAAAGAACAAGGCAGCAGCAACCATCCAGCATGCCTGGCGAAGGTAGGAAGATGAGGTGCCGCAGGAACTTTGGTTCTTTGGTTGTTCCTGATACCCCTAACGTGATACATCCTATGCTCTTTGATGTTTTCCCAGTGAATTCCATGACATGGCCAATTTTATGGAGCTTACCTATGAAATTTACACTTGTGTGCATCCTAATACTTTATATTGTGTAAGTTATTTGGAAGTTGTTTTTGCTCAGAAAGATGAGAAGGTACCCAGGATAGCATGGTGTAAAGGAAAAAGCCCTGGGTTGTAATCACAAAACCTGAGTTTCAGGTGAAGCTCTAATATGTTATCTGACCTTGGGCAGATTACTTGGCCTCCCTGACCCTCAGTGTCTTCATCTGCAAAACAAGATTTAACAATTGCTGTTCCTGTCCTGTTTATGTGACAGGCTACTGGAATGAGATAATGTGTGCGTCATAAGTTTTAAAGTACTACACACATATTTTCTTTTTCTTCTTTTTATGTCTGTACTACCCAGGAATTAGTCATACTCCAAATACCTAAACCAGGGCCTGGATATAGTGGATTGACTGACTGAAATTTACTGCATAAACCTATCTGAGCATCTCCTTAGCTCAAAATATGGGGCAGGCACTGCGAGTGGGGGTAGAGGCTGTCCTAAAAGACTGAGACAGTGTCCCAGTGTGGTGGAGACAATTACCTCTAGGGAAAAGACGGAAGGAGTCCCTTGCCATAGTCTTTTCGCATATCTAATAATCTCTTTCACACAGTAGGCCATATAAGGGCCTAGATCTAGACTAGGCCTTACAGTGATGACAGTGCCCATCACCAAGGTGGTGATTATGTGGCCTCCATCTCTGCAGAGAGGAAGATTGATGGGGGGACCAGAACAAGCAAATCGCTGTAAGCACAGGCATGCCAAGTATCAAGGCCCCTGTCAGGAGAAAAAGAAAAAAGGGGCCAAGAGCACCCTAATGCTGGCCGAGAAAGAAGAGAGCAAGATAGATTCTTGTAAGGTCCAGGGAGAGACCTCAGGGAATATCATGCCAAAGAATGCCTAACCCAGAGCCAGGTGACGTGGTTTGTGCTTGCATGGCCTTTGCAATAATGTGTCCTCACGTCTGGTCAAGCTCTCAGCAGCCATTTACAAAGTCCTCTCTCATGCCAGATCCCATTTGATCTCCCAACCACACCAGGAAGCCATCATGACAGGGATCAGTATCCCTGTTTTACAGACAAGAAAGGAAAAATGACTTGTCCTTGTGGTGTAGATCAAGCAGTTGAACCTGTCTGACTCAAATCCAAGGCCCTTTCCCTTACATTATTAGTGAAATTCATTTTTGCTGTGATCAAGATAATGGAGATGGAGGTGGGCCTCATGCTCTTTACCGGAGAATAGGCTGGAGAAGAAGGGCTGCTTGGAGGTGCTCACACACTGAGGTAACCATCCAGGAGCAGGGCGATCTGTTATTACCACCATTGCTAATACTAGGAGTTAGCATTTAGTGGGTACTTGTACAAGACATTGTTCTAAGTAAGTTTACATGTATTAGTTCACTTAACACTCACAATAACCCTGTGAGGTAGGCACTGTTCTTATCCCCATTCCACAGATGAGGAAGCAAGCACAGAGAGGTCAATCAGCTCTCCAGCATTACAGAGCTGGTAAGTGCCACACTGCTTTGAGCCAAAACAGTCTGCCTCTGAAGCCACAGCTGGTAATGGCTGTTGCTCCCCCCTCCTTAGGGAGTTATGACAGGACATGCACTGGCTACCATCCCAGAGGAACTTTTTGTTAAGTATTTTGGCTAAAATCTGGGATCTTAATAAGCCAGCAAGGTCTACCACGTCAGGCCCCACAGCTGCTCCCTAGTTGAAATCACTCCCTCTCAGACTGTCTGTTCTTTGATTCCTTTGAAGAGTCAGAAGCTGACAGGTCCTGTCAGTAAGTGTCCAGAGTAGCAAATGAGCCTTCAGTCATTGCCCCCCAACAACAGTGGGCTCATAGTCTAACGTGCCCACCTGGGAAGGCAATTATACAGACCCCCTCTGGCTGCGCCATTGTGCAATTTGGAGGCCAGGGGACATCAACTTCCAAAGGGCTTCTGGAACGCTGCACATTGTGGAAAGCCACATGTCTGGTGATGGTAAAAACACTTTTATTGATTGTTATATTTTAGCAGAATTTCCATTTTAACTGCAGGAGCCCAAAGAGCTATCTGACACCAAACCTAAAGGAGCAGTGAGGGATGGGGTAGGGAACAGGGCTCAGCCACATAACGCATAAGTAAGTGTTCAATAAATACAAGTTATCGTTATAGGGGACATGTTGAGGATGGAGAAGGTAGCTGGAAAATAGACAGGGATGGGGTGAGCAGATTCACCTTAGGCCTTGAGAAAATAAAACTTGGTCATAAAATCGTGAGTTTTACTACCAATTAAGATTCGACTATTTTAAAGATTGAAAACGGATACTGGACAAGCTGGCTAGAAAGTTGCTGTGGTTAAGAGCATTTGCTGTGTAAGCCACCTTCCTGTCAGCTCTTCTCCAGCATATTTTGAGGTAGATAAGCAAAGATAGGCTGGACCATAAGAAAAGCCCTGAGCCCAGAGCTGAAAGGGACTAGTGGACATGTTAGGAATCTCAACAAACCAGGAGCAGGAGCATGTGTTCTCCTTGAGAAAGGGAAAAAGCTGTTACTCTGACTGCGAGGATGCATCATCCCCCTAGACACAGACTCACAGTCTCAATACCAGAGTTGATTCGGTGGAAACTGCCCATGGAAAGCTGAAGCTACTAACAGCTGCAGCCAATACCTGGGCTTCCCAGTGAATTATCTCCCACAAGAGCAGAGGGTGTAGAAGACAGTTGTTGTGTTCAATAATAAGTTTGGAAGTGCACGTGAGATAAAAACCATCAAACACTAGATGTAAACACAGCCGCCATCTCCCTGCCCCTTGCCTCTCTTCCACTCCTAGATCCACCCTCCAGGAGACTGGTATCGGTAAAACACAGCTCTTGCCTTTGCCATTCTTCTTAAAAACATCCATTGGTCCCCATTATGTACAGAATACAGACCAAAGTCATTAGCAGCACTCATATTTGGCTACTGGACCAAACAGTACTGGGTTTGAATGTTGGTTTCTCCTGTCCCTAGCTGTTTGACCTTCTCCAAGTTACTCAGGCTTTATGAGCCTCACAAGGTCTGTCCCACAGGGAATTAATCATAGGGAAAGTGCCTGGTATACAGCAAGCCCTCAACAGATGTTGGCGCCTTCCACAGTGTAGCCCAGCCTCCTTCTCTCACCAAATATACAATGCTTCAACCACACTGCACTACTTTCTTGCACAAATGCCCATATCTCTGCTTATGCCATTTCTACTACTGCCTAGAATGCCCTTCTCTGCTTGGCAGACTCCTACTCTTCCTTTAAAACCCAGCACAAATATCCGCCTTGTAAAGCCTTACCAACCGCACAGTCAGTCCTGCATCTGTCCCATGCCATCTAGCTCCTTTCCCTCATGCAGTACTTATACTGCACTCATTTGTTTACACATTGCTTGTCCCACTGTCTATGAGCTCCTTGAAGGCAAGGACTCATCTGATTGAATCCTAATTCAGGAAGTGTTTGACAATGGAAAAAGATAGAATTCAGCGTCCTGCCACTGAAATTAGGAATGGGAGCTTGAATGAACGTCCCAAGAGTTCAGCAAATACTATTTCTGTAGCTTCTGGGAATCTTAAGGAAATTTAGCTTCCTCTGTAACTGTGATCCTAAAAGCCTCTGCTCTCCTCTGACCCACCAGCTACCAGCTCAGGAAGCACCTGTCCCAACTTCTGCATATGAAGCAGCTTGGAGCTGGAGATGTGGACAGATGGAACCGAGAGTGCATAGCACTGCTCCTCCAGGTTTGGAGGAAGGAACTGGAACTAAAGCTCCCAAAGACCATCACAGTAAGCAGGGCCCCCAAGAGTGCATCCAAAGGCATCTCAGGCACAAAGTCCACCAAGCAATCGTTGCTCAAGCAAATCTATGGTAATTGTCCTTCTGGGCATTTTGTAGTTTACAGCAAGCAACCCCAGAAAGTGTCACATCAGAATCCAAAATGGGATTTAATTACATTGGGCAAACCTCCATTCAGATAAAAACTTCCTTATTCTACTTCCAAGCACCAAGAGAATTCTCAACACCATATTTAGTTCTTTCCTTTCAGCAATTCTGGGTCAAAATTGCTCATTAGGCATTCTGGGTCAGAATTGCTCATTAGGCATTCTGGGTCAGAATTGCTCATTAGGCATTCTGTCATCTCAGTCCAGAGAGCCTTCCAGCCGAGATTCTCCACTTGGCTCCATAACTGAAAGCTTCACCCTTTCAACTTCTCCAGACCCCTGCTTGGCTCTGCCCCTTATGTTACCCATTTGGAGGGCTCTAGACTCAGTTTGACCCTGCTTGCCTCATTTGACCTTTCCTGTGCTAGGACAGTATATGGTAGCCCCAGACCCAGGCACTACAGTAAATACTTGATCAGCAGAAGAACTGCTGTAAATTGAAACATTTTCAGTTTGGAAAAAACTCATCCAAATAATTCAGCAGAGAACAAGCCTGGCTAGTTCCCCAAACAATAAAGTTGAGCCAAGGCACCTTTAGCAAGATCTCCTGCAGTCCAGGCAGCAAAATCTCAGGACTTTGCCCTGGACCTATATAGTATTTCCACCCCATACCTAATTTATCTTGGCAGACACCTGCAAGCCCAAACCTTTACCTCAGTAAGGAATTCAGAACTTGATCAGGCCACAGCTGTCACTGGTCAAAGACATGACTGTTGTTGGTTGATTTCAGGTTGTTCTCAAGAAGGGAAAGTACGTCATCCCACAAGATCGTCAAAAGCCCCTTCTGTGTTGCATCTCAATTCAGGTAAGGCAGCCACTGCACTGGCAAAGCAGATGAGGGAGAAAACACGGGGAAGCATTTTCCTTCTTTGTTTCATCCCCAAAGGTAGAAGATGTTAGAACAGAGATGATCAGGGTTTTTCAACAGTCATTTGATTTCAGCTATGCATATGGTTTTTATCCACTTTCCCCTGGGATTATTACTGCAGTTAGCATTTGTCTTCATAAAAGGCAAATTATTTTCACAACTAAAAGCTATTATTGTTAACATTATCTCCAGTAGAAACAATAAAAGGTAGCTATTATTGTTCTTTTATATACTTGTTCATGTAAAGGAAGAAATGAAAATACTGTCATATTTCAAAGGAATACCTTGGAAATCCTTGTTCCATTTTGGTGTCACATTTAGATCCTCCATTTCCTTCCTGAAGATGGGAAGAGCACCATAAAGAGGATGTTGATAGCCCAGCTCGGCTCAACTATGTACACTTTCACTCACACAGGAGAAGCTCAGGGAACTTTCTTTTCAGCCATTAGACAAGAGCATTTTACTTAAGGCCCCTTCATTCACACAAGCATTACATGTGGGTGATAAGTTCAGTGCTGTCAGCAGCTAATGCCAGGTCCGGAGTTTCTCATAGGTGACTATGGCAACACACTCCCCCCACCCTCCCTAATCCACACACTCATCCCTTCATTCACACAAGCATTACATGTGGGTGATAAGTTCAGTGCTGTCAGCAGCTAATGCCAGGTCCAGAGTTTCTCATAGGTGACTATGGCAACACACTCCCCCCACCCTCCCTAATCCACACACTCATCCTGCAGGAACAAGGTGCAGCTGGGAAGGTGAACAATGATTGTCAGCATGAACTTTAACATTCATTTAGTTTTTGATGGGGGGAAAGCCTGGAGGTGGGGGACAGAGTAATTATTGCCAAATCTTTAATAAGAGTCAGACAACTCATGTAATACAGGCAAACTGATCAGGGAGTGGAGGGTGGGGTACTTAGAAACTTTCAAAGGAATCAAGGCCCACAGTTCTATGTAAAACAAACTTTTGTTATACTTGAGCGAATTGAAGAATTGTTTCAAAAACAGAACTGTCAGATATAACTACCAGTGAACTGGCATTTAGAAAATCAAATATTAATACAGATAATCAGATCAATTTTCAGTCTTAAGAGAAAAAAAAAAAAAACCCAGGAAGGACTACCAGAAATGTTTAAAAATGAAGAGTTTAGCAGCATAAAATGTTTTTAGTTAAGTGATTTGGAGGGTACAAAGTAAACAAATTCAAAGAAATAACTAATGGTTTCCTAGATCTTCATATGAACAAGTAACTTGTTTGTCCTACACATATTTGAGTGGTTTGGAATTAGATGAAGACAAAATGTAAAGTATTTTCCTAACCCTGATCGTGAGCGGCAATACAAGGTTTTCTCAGGCCCAACCCTACCCACATTAAACACGTTAATAAAGGTGGTCAGGGGCCGGCCCGGTGGCGCACTGCTACAGTGCGCCGCTTGGGAGCACGGCGGCGTTCCCACCGAGGGTTCGGATCCCACATACAGACCGGTTCCCGCTCACTGGCTGAGCGAGGTGCGGGCGCAGCACTGAGGGTTGCGATCCCGTTGCTGGTCCCGCCCGGTCCGGTACGGGCGCGACACTGAGGGTTGCGATCCGTTGCCGGACACGAAAAAAAAAGACAAAAAAAAAGGAAAAAAATAAAAAAAGAAAGGTGGTCAGAGTTGTTAGCTACAGTTTACCTGAAGCCTGTGTTTTATACAGAAAACATGGGAAAAAAATAAAAAAATAAAGGTGGTCAGAGTTGTTAGCTACAGTTTACCTGAAGCCTGTGTTTTATACAGAAAACATGTCTATAAGTGAAATAATTTCCATGAAATTGACATGACTTGAACACACATAGAAAATGTGGAATCACAGATGACAAACCGAACCAAGGTCTTCACCTTGAATAAAAAATGTTAGTTCATTTTTGCCTTGAGAATTCCATTTGGTTAGCGATTTTGATTTTTACTCACTGTTCTATTCAGTTTTAGAAAATTGCTTGGCACACTGTAGATGCTCAAATATCTGATAAGTGAATAGTGATGCTCTCACCCCCCAACTTGGAGAGATACCCTTCTACGGCTTTAATAGTGCCTTTAACACTTAAAAAGGAAGAAACTGAAAGTGAGATAAACAGCAAAATGACAACCTCCTTGGGCTGTTTCTCTACATGCATTCATGAGACAGTTAAAAAACAATCCCTGCTCTCTCCAGTCTTCTACACCCACCCTGCAAACCACCCACAAAGAATATGCATAGCCATTTACTGATATACACACCCTAAGACCATCTCTTTAAATATTAAATAACTCCCTTTATAATTCTTTTCATGCAGCTCACATGATTGGTATTGGTACCCCCTATATGAATGCAGTATATTCCTGCCCACCTGCAAAAGGGTATGCAGATGACAACTCAATTCAAGAGAGTGAAGGCTGCCAAAAACATGCCCAAGTTCCAATAACAGTAGTTTCTTTCAAAATAATTTTATTGAAGTAACAGTTATAAACAAGGAGAGAAAAACTAAGATGTGTTACTTTTGAAAACTACTCACCTTTCATATTTGCTTATGTGCTCCACAGAAAGATAAGAGCAAAATATAGCAATATGGCTTCAGCAAAGTCTCTCAACCATTTGGGGCCTCAGTATCAATCATTTATCAAAGTACATTACTAATGTTTTCCAAGTCTGGCATTCTGTATTTGTTATTTCAAGATCATAAAAAAGCCTCAAAATCTATTCTGAGGTTTAACGTGCCTATCTATCATCCTTGAGGATCTGAATAGTTTTCAAACAAACTAATTTTCTGGAACAAATTATTGCAAAGTATGTGGCAACAAGGAGAGTTAAAAGATGTATTATGTGGATATATGTGGTGTGTTATGTGAGACAGAAAGATATCATATTAGTTATTCCAGGTGGACTGAAGACCTAGGTTCCAGTCCCAGCTCAAGTGCCTGCCTCCTCCCTTGAATAACTGTGCCTTATCTTTGAGAGGATGGAAACTAGTAAGGCTAGTAAGCTGACCCATCACCTTATTTAGCCCCACGGATAGCCCAAACCTGAAGCCTTTTTCCTCACCACCAATGAACTCTTCCCTTCAGCATTAAAATAAATAACCTGAATATCTGGCATTTGTTTTTAACAGCAAGCAACTTGCAGTGTGTACATCTTGAGAACAATGGAAGATCAAAGAACTTTTCTCATAACCTGCAATCAGCGCCCCAATCAAAAAACAAAGCTGTGACTGCCCATGGAAGAAGACTATGTTCGGGGGAGCTGGAATAACTAATGCAGAGTTTTAATTCTCTGATTATTTTTCACATCTTGGGAAAACTTTAATATCCATGCCTGAAGCTTTATTTGCCTGAAAATGTGGTAACAACTGAAAGAAAACGTCAGAATGTTATTACACAGCACTGTTTTGTCAATCATCTTAGCCTGCACTAAAAGGACCAGGGTAGACTATGCCTAGCTGTGTGCCTTCCCCTCAGTCTGTACAGCTGGAAATGAGAATTAATAACAACAGTAAAGTCTAAGTAAAGCTAAGAACAAGAGCACCTAAGGGGCTGCTTGCTGAGATTTCTGCCAGCTAACTGGTACAGGACTCTGGTTTCTTTGCTCAAGTGATGAACCTAAATGAGATGGGGAAACTGTCCCACAGCAGCCTTCTTCATTTCACTACTGTCCTGGAATCTAATGCAATAAACTTTATCACAGATACCACATCCTCACCATTACTCCAACAATATCAGTGCTAAATTTTAGATCACAGTCATAACCCAGTGTTTGCATTTAGAAATTGTCTGTAAGACCACAGGTATACTCTATTGATTCCTTACATTTTAGTTTCCATGTTAGCCTCTGAAGGCCACAGGTTGCTGCCACATCCTCTCTGAATGGCTTTCTCACTACTGGGCCTCAACAGCAGTATCACAGTATCAAGGAATCAGTCAGGTAGGGTTTACAGATCAAACTGTTCATGCCACAAGGTGCCAACTTAGGCCTCAAACGTTCCACTTGTGTTTTCTGACCAACTTGCAAAAGTGAGCAATTCCAAATTCTCAAAATGCCATTTTTACTGGCAGGGAAAACTGTGCTAACTCTAAACTGTGCATAGTTCAGCTCTCTGAAACACCTGCTTTAAATAAAATCCAGTGATTATGGGTTCCTTCACGTTTTTTTAAGGGGCTGCTGTGAGAATGTAAACAGTAGGCATAAACAGCAATGTATTAGGCTCACAAATATTTTTATGGTTGCTTCCATTTTCTTAAAACCAGTGCCACCCATGTGCTGAGAGTAAGAGAGAGGAAGTAACAAAGTGTTTAGTTAATTTAATGACCTTAATTTTTAGTTTGCTAATTAAATTCATTATTTTCATGATTATGAAAACAAAGAATGAGGTTTGCTCAGATGGGATTATAAAGATTCACCTAATTTCTTGCTAGGTAACAAAAGGTACTGTAGTATCACTCTGTATTTTGTAAATATTTAGCTCCTATGAAATGCAAAATGTGCTACTACCTATGACCATGTGTCATGTGCTAGTCCAGGAAGCCAGCCTGCACTTTAGTGAGAACTCCCAAGCATTATTTTCCTATTTCAGTGCAAAGGAAGGTTCATAAACAACTTCTTTAAAAGTTCAGCTTTAATGACAAACATCTACTACATCGTCTCTCTTCAAAATAAGATAGATGTGAATAAACAATTTCAAACAGAAGGTACCATGGTGCCTCTTCAATACACTGTACTCAACGCACTGGGCCCCTGAGGATGTCCAGTGATATACACACTGAAGCAGTAATGTAAGTCTGTGAGCCACTGCTCCTGAACACCTCCACTCTTCAACGTCTGGAGAGAAAAACAAGAGTAATTTCAGAATTGTACCAAAATCATTATGCTACCTGACAGTATTTTTTTTTTACACCCAAACATGATTTCTCAGAGCCTCGGCAACATTATCCCCAATTATAAATCACCAAAGGAAGTCTCAGAAAAAGGGAACTACTAATTGGGTATTACCACAGGCAGTGAAAATTCCTAGTTATATCCTCAAGTGTTACCAATTTCTTGTTGAGTCTGTTCCCTCCTGCACATGCTAGGGAATAATGAAATTTTACCATCAACGACCTCTATACCCCTAGTCCCCTCCCCCTTGGTATCCTAATGTCTCATGATCTTTTCACTAACATCAACTGAGAGTAATTCTACAGGGCCAACTGACAATTTCTGTCAATCTCTTCTTTATGGAGGTGGGCTGATTCTCCAATCTGGGAATAATCCAAGCTCTTGACTTTTCTTCACTTCTACTATTTCTGAATTATTCCACCACCACCTCCCATTACTTATACAAAGGGTACTGAGAAAATTCACAATGAGTATCTGTGTTAGGTGCATGTAACAGCTCTATTACTCCAAAGTATTACTATATACCTAATCTATAAAAACACCTCTTTAACTCTCCCAAACCAAAAATGCTAAAGGAATCCTAGACAACTGAGCTGCCCCCAAAACAGCCACAGCAGAAGGCAGAGAGCCAACCATCAGACAAAGCTGAAGTCTATGACTTCCTTCTGACTTACTTTCCAGTGAGCTAAGTGACAAGAAACTGTTTATTCAGGCTAAATAGTTTTCGTATTGATACCAAGCATTTATTGAGCACTTAATAAATGTCAGGCACACTAAAAACTTTACTTGTATAATCTCGTTTAATGGTCACTAAAACCCAATGAAGTTGGCATCATCCCCCTTTTTACAAATAAGAAAACAAGCCTGTACAGCTAAGAAAAAAAAAAAATGTGCCAAGTTATCACAGTTAATCAGTAGAGTCTGTATCAGAGTTCAGATAGGAATGACTCTGATGTCCATACCTTTTCCAGCTAAGCTGCTTGGAGCCACCTTCATTCAGTTTGAGTATTTTAAGGCTTTTATTACTGATTCTGGAATCAGAGACTTCCCCATGATTAAGTTAACAGGAGGGGAAGCCCTGAGAAATCACCACACTACGCTTAATTCTAGGAGTCAGCCACGCAAAGGCACCCTACCCTTCCAGAAGCACCCCCTCACCCTAATGTTCCTCCCACGAGTCCACTGTATTGAGGGTATGAAGTCCTTGGTAACAGTGCTTCTTACCGTGATATTCTTGATGATCTGCTGCACCAAGATTGCATTGGTCAACATATGAGTCCTGAGAGGTGCGTGCTGAAGGAGAAGGCGAAGCAGCTGGCCCACAACAGGCAGCTCCTCAGACCCAACTCTGTTTACCCGCAGGCTCTGCAGCATCAACCTGAGGACCCGAGGCAGCAGAGCCAAGATGGAGACACAAGTCCCCCATAGCTTGTCCCTTCAATAACAGAGACAGAAATGAGTCAATGAGCCAACACACACAGGGAAAGTGCCCTTTCCATAGTCTCCAAAACTGAAATGTCCTTTTAAGAAACATGGTATTTTTTGATAAAACATAACTAACAAGAACTGGGTTTCATCAGAACTAAATAAGTAAATCCAGTAAAGAATTAGCTGCTCTCTATTTTATGGATTCCAGGAAGCCTAGTAATGAGCACTTTCTCGAGCTTAACAAGACATTCTTGAAGCCCCAGTGATCATATATTACACAGGACTAGTCAGAGAACAGAATGATATACACAGGATACCTCAGTTACCTATCATGGACACTGTTCAGCTATTTATTATATAACACCAAAGATATCAGAAGAGTAAGTATATCCCACAGATAAAAAAGGAAGAAAAGAAATTCATGAAACTCTAAGCCTGTGACCAGGACTCTGATCCTCTTCAATGTCTTAGAACAGGTACAATTTGCAGAGAGAAAGATGTGCTCACCAGGAGCCAAATGGATTTCAGAAAGTAGCCAATAATGGGACTATTACTGCACCACTAGGTCACGGAAGGCCAGGAATGGTAAATCCAAATTTCAGTAAACATCATTCTCTTGGTATTTTTATAGAGCAAGAGCAAAAATGTTTATGGTAGAGACAAGCTAACTTGTAGCTAGCCTGACCACATCCTAGAAGAGCACCAATTAAATGGAGCAATATCTACCTGGAGGGAGAGTCCACTGACTGCTGAAGGCTCTGACTTTAGTCTGTTGCAGTTTCTGTACCAGGAGCACATAACCCTCTCAGTCCCCAGATCTTCCTGAGAGAACCTGACTACCACCAGATCTAGAGTAAGCAGCCCTTTCGCCATATGACCAACTTCCTCTCTGCCTCCACATGCAGCAATTGCATCAAAGGTGGATAATGAATCCATTCCAGGCCAACCAGATTCTCTTATTTAACAGAGACTTTATTCAGCCTGTTGACTGACGCAGAGCCAGGCTGGGAGAGCCACGTGCAAGGAGAAAAGAGAAAGCCAAACTGTACACATAGCTAATAATAAGGCAAAAGCACAGAGATAAAGACTACACAATCTAGGAAAAAAAGAAAAGAACAGAGAAAGCTGTTTTGGGTTCCTGCTGGACTTCTAATTCCTAGCCCTTGGATTTTACAAGTTACTGCTGGAATGGTCCAATATATTCAATTTCTATTTTTGTTAATTTGAGTGGATTTCAAATAATTGCAGACTTAAAAAAAAAAAAAATACAGCCAAGCTCAAAGCCAGATGAGTGACACCTCTAGGTGCTAGAAACTATGACAGAATTTATGTAGATACCTAACAGAGTTACAGAACTGGATGTGGGATTTTAGGGATGGGATTTTCAACAGTCAACAGTGTTAGAAGCTGAGGCTTCAGGCCCCAGGTGTGGGGAGGCAGGGAGCTTGAACTGGGCTCCCTGCATAGAGTGGGAAGCCAGGAAAATGCAAATGTGAAACTCCCATAGGGAATTCTCCCCAAACCTCCACAGAGCTCCCACAAAAGACACACCTAGAGAAAAGGTATACAACCCAAAGCATAGGTTTGTTCAGCCTCATGAAAGACAATCACCAGAGCCCCACTTGCTCCTCAAAATAAGGGAGAATTCCTGTACCAGAGAAAAAAAATTTAATAGAACAAACTGATGGGAACTTTGAAGTAACACCAATAAACCAAAAACAATCAAGAATGACAAAGTGCCAAGTAAAAACCCCAAACAGAAACAAATCCAAAAGAAAACAAAATAATACTGGATGAAATAAAAACAAAATAGGAGGCTTAAATAAAAGAATTAGCAAATTGAAAGATTTTAAGAAATGAGGACAGGATGGGAAGTCCCTTATGTTTAAAAGGAGTTTTTAGAAGAGAATATAAACAATGGAGGACGATAACAGTCAGAAATTATAACTAAGAACTTTCCAGACCTAAAGAAAAGAACTGAGACTTCAGATTAAAGAAGCACACTAAGTCTCAAACAGGATAAATAACAAACCTACACTAGAATACATCCTGATTTGCAACAGACCAAAGATCAAGAGAAAACAGTAAAAATATAGAATAGATTACTACCTGCAAACAAACAAGGCCCAGGCTAACAGCAGATTTTTTCATTAGTAACAATGAATTGACAGAACATTAAGACAACAGAATTTTATCTTCAAGGTTCAGCAGACACACTTCTGAACAGCTCAAATTCATTAAGCTTAACTTTTTGGCCAGCATTTGTGAAATCAAAGGCTCCCAGTAATTTAACTGACATTCTCATAATTTGTAATCTTACAAACACCTTCTCCAGTGGGGAAAAAGTAGCCCCAAAGGTCATTTTAAGTACCTGAGACTCTGGCTGCCAACACTTCCGTGTATCTAACGTCATCCCAAGATAGGTACAAAGTCCTGGTAATATCAACCTCTCCAATACCCAAAACCCCTCTCCAGACCCAAAACACCTCTAAAACTTGGCATTTTAAACACGCTCTCAAGTATTATACACACTGGATTTTGTTCAATCCAGCCATATAAAAGTCAAAGCAAGATGTTCCTCTAAAAGAAATTACAAAAGATCTTTGAAACTTCACATGAAAGTGTTTAATAAAGGGGCTATATTCCAAGTGACTGGAAATGACAAACACATTTCATAAGTGATCTCATAAAACCTTCAAAACCCTGACAAGTTCCTTGCTATTTATGAAGTCTTTTCTTGACCTATCAGACCTAAAGTTGATGATACATAAGAAAAATACCATCAGATCTGTTTATTATGTATAAATTTTACAGTATATTTATAGTGAAAT